TCGTGGCCCCGCCCCACCGCGCCCTCTTTCCGCCCCACTCGGGGAGTCCTCCGCCTCACGGCCGCCTCCACGTGTCTCGCCCGGTCTCCGCAGCCATGTACCCCACCGCGGCCATCACGCCCATCGCGCACAGCGTGCCCCAGCCACCGCCCCTCCTGCAGCAGCAGCAGCGAGAAGGTGAGGCGGCCGCGACTTCCCCGGGCGCAGCCCCGCCCCGCCCGCTCCCGCACCTGCAGGCCCCCGGGAGCCGCACGGGCCTGGGTGCGGATCCCGCCGCAGCCCCCCGCGGGCTGGTGTTCCCGGGCAGCTGAGCCGCCCTTGCCCGGCCTCAGTTTCCTCCTCCGGAAGGCGCGACCCGTGCTGGCCTGGCCCCCACCGTAGGGTGGTGTGAAGGGCTGCAGGTAAAAACGCTTAGAGCATCTTCGCCGAGCCACCAGCCGCCACCAGCCCCCTCCGGACTGGGCCATTCCCTGGGTTTGGGGAGAGGAAACCCGTTTTGAGCTTGGGAAGGGGAGGGGCAATGAGGGCTCTCCCGGTGAAGGCTTTCCAGGGGAGGGGTTAGAATCTGGAGTCTCATAACCCGGGTTGGAACCTACCCAGTTGTGACTTGTGACATGAGAAGCAAGGTGGCTAACTGCCGCGTGCCTCAGTTTCCCCACCTGCAACATGGGCGACCACTGGTGCCAGGAACTTACGCGGGGAAACGAGCAACGACCCCCCGTGGAATTCCTTCGGCTCTTTAATCCTCTAGCCCAGGGGTGCCAATGACCTGTCTGGAAGACCGAGTTCATTGAGAATTCGACCAATTTTTCCCGGGCTCTCGGACTGTGGACAGGGTAGGAAAGCTGAGTTTTGGAGGCGGACCCTAGGCTGAGGGGCAGATTGGGAAACCCCCAACCAGCTGACTCCCTGTCATCAGTCAGATATTGGTTAAAATCAACACCACTAGCAACACAGTGGTTTGGGAGCAGTCCCGGATTTGCCGGGCCTTTGGCGTGATCCCCATAGCACCCCTGTGCCCCCCACACTGAACAGCCCTAGGGGAGCTTCACAGCCGGCTCAGCTGCCCGGGGTCGCTGCTTTTTGGATGGCCCTGGCCTCGGTGTCCCCCCTTCTAGCCCCTGCTCCCTCCACCCTTAACCTGAGCTGTAGGTAATAGCTAATTTAAATATGGTCAACACTGCTATAAGGCCGTGTATGAGTTCCTAAAAATCACCACAGTATGCAAAATTGCACCATATAAACTCCAGGGCTTGTGGGCACAGCACTCAAAAATCTTCATCAGTGACACATTAAAAAAAAAAAAAAGACAAGAACCTATTAAAAATGGTAGCTAAATTTTATATGTGTTAAATGGTAAAGAAACTCATACATACTACAATAAATTTGGCACTTTACCTTGGAAAAGACCTGAGGTTTCCACATGCAATAGACGTTGGAAGCATTCCAGTTTGTGAGTGCAGAAGGAGGGAAAGCTGTATCTCGGAGGGAGATGGGTGTGGCTCCTAACAGACCTGAGTTACTAAGGAAGTTGGTTGATGTTTGAGGAGTGTGTGTGCATTTTGTGATTTTTTCTGAGGTTGGGTTCAGCTGGTGTGGTTTTCTGCATCCACTAGTGCTGCTGGGAGGTCAAAATCATGCACAAGCAAAAACAAAATTCATGCTGGAACAAACCCACATTTTAAAAAGAAGCAGAACTGTATTTGTGTAATCTTGGATTTTGTATTTTCTGGGACAGGGACTATCTCTGTGGTTTGGGGATTACCCTTGTTGGGTGGAGGGGAAGTAGGAGAAAGTCATCTGTAGGTGTTGGATTAGCGGCGGGTTTGAGGGCTGTCCATTGCTGTGGATCATCTATGTTCTAAAATGCTATAATTATTTGTAGTTTTTAGATTAGCCAGACACTGGGGTTATTTGAGCGAAAGGGGTGATTTTGAGGGTAATCTGTTGCTCTTTGAAAAAGTTATTTCTGGTTGTTATATTATATCGTTTTTTAATTATCTGTTTCAGGATAGCTGGGGTTTTGGGACTGGGGAATTATCTTTTCATTTTACTTAGTTTATTTTTACATCATCAGAATTTTGAAAATTATCCCAGGTTTGGAGATTATTCAGGGTTTTCTGGATAGCTGGGGTTTGGGACTGGGGAAGCATTTGCTTTATTTTATTGTATGATCATCGGACTTTTTAAATGAACTTTTAATTTTAGAATGGTTTTAAATTTACAGAATTATTGCAAAAATAGTACGGTATACCCCACACCCAATTCATCTGACTTTTGTAAATGATCTGGATTTTGGGTTGTCTCTAGAGTTTGGGGTTTTCCCAGGGTTTTGGTATTATCTAGGGTCTGGAATTGGGGAATTATCTGGGTTATGGGGAGGGTAAAGATCAAAGGTCGCTATGAGTCGGAATTGACTCAAAGGCAATGGGTTAGAGATCAAAGGACGTGATGTTTGGTAAAGTAGAGGGCCAGCAAAAATGAGGGAAATCCTCCATGACATGGACTGACACAGTGGCTGCAACAATGGGCTCAAACATACCAAAGATCGTGAGGATGGCGCAGGCCCGGGCAGCGTTCTGTTCTGTTATACAGTCGGAGTCAACCTGACCGCAACTAACAACAACAGAGATCATCTGAGTTTTTTAAATTATCTGGAGCCTGGGGATCTTCTGGGGTTTGGGGATTATCAGTGATTTGGAGCATCCAAATTTGGGATTATCGAGACAGGGGATCAGCGTGCCCTGCCTCCCCTCACCCCCACCATTTCCACACTCCCTCCTGTCTGGGTGTCCCAGGCACCCCTTTCCCAACAGCTGGAGATGCCAGATATGGGCTTCGGTCCCGCGCCTCTCCCTGGGGGGGTCCACCTCCTCTCCTTGGGGGCTTTATGTCTTTCTCTCCCCCACCTGCAGGTCCCGAAGGCTGTAACCTGTTTATCTACCACCTCCCCCAGGAGTTTGGAGACACGGAGCTGACCCAGATGTTCCTGCCCTTCGGCAATATCATTTCCTCCAAGGTGTTTATGGATCGGGCCACCAACCAGAGCAAGTGTTTCGGTGAGTCCCACTGCGGGCGCCCTGGAACAGAGGGTGGAAGGCGGTGGTTAGCCACGGGACAGGTCACAGTCCCAAACAATCACATACAGAATCAGACTGAGTGCTTATTGAGCGCCTCCTGTGTTCCATGCATGTTCCATGCATTATTTCTAAGACTTGTTCATTCATTCACTCATTCATTTTGTATATATCTCAAGGACCTACTGTGTGCTAAGTGGTTCCATGTATCATTCATTCATTCACTCATTCAACAAATATATGTTTATGTGTTCCATGCATCATTTCTAAGACTTGTTCATTCACTCATTCATTTTGTATATATCTCAAGTGTCTACTATGTGTCAAGTGGTTCCATGCATCATTCATTCATGCATTCACTCATTCAACAAGTATATATTTGTGTGTTCCATGCATCATTTCTAAGACTTGTTCATTCATTCATTCAACACACATATACACACATATGTATCAAACACCTACTGTCTTTCAGCCACGTTTCACACATCATTTCTAAAACTCATTCATTCATTCAACAAATATATATATCAGGCACCTACTATGTGCCAGGCACTGTGCTTGGGCTGGGGACACAGCAGTGAATAAAGGTGACAAAAGTCCCCGCCCTCAGAGCTGGCAGTCTCGCCACACCGTCCAATAGAACGTCCTCCAGTGATGGGAACGTTCTAGGTCCTTGCTGCCTGACATGGTGGCCAGTAGCCCCCATGTGGCTACTGAACACTCCAAAGGTGGTGAGTGCCACCAATGAATTTTTAATTTTATTTAGATTTTAGTTCACTGAAATTTAAATAGCCACATGAGGGCAGTGGCTGTCATAAGGGAGAGCTCAGGCCTAGGGGAGGAGACGGAAACAAACAGATGCAGCTGTAGGTCAGGAACTTGTAAATGGTGTGAAGGCAATCAAAGCAGGGAAGGAAGGAGAGGCTGATGAGGATGCGGTGGTCAAGGAGGACTTTTCTGAGGAGGCATTTGAGCTGAGACCTGAATGATAAGGAGCCAAATGGGGAAATCTAGGGGGAGGGCATTCCAGACAGAGGGAACAGCATGTGCAAAGGCCCTGGGGCAGGACTCTGCCTGGTGAGTTGGAGGAATGATGAGGAGGCCCGTGTGGCTCGAGCGGAGTGAGCGAGGTGGAGAGAAAAGGAGGAGAGGGCAGGGAAGGGACTGGGCTGGTAGTGCAGGGCCCTGTGGGCTGCGGGGAGGACTTGGGCTTTTATCAGAGGGAGGTGGGAGCCCTGGAGGGCTGTGAGCAGAAGAGGGACAGACCCTGACTCAGGTGCTCACAGGCGCCCTCTGGCTGCTGCGAGGGGAACAGCCTAGAGGGCAAGGGTGAGAACCAGGTGAGCGTCTGGGGAAAGGCATTGCAGATAGAGGGAACAGCCCGTGCAAAGGCCCTGAGGCAGGACTGTGCCTGGCAAGTTGGAGGAACAGTGAGGAGGCTGGAGTGGAGTGAGCGAGGGAGAAAGAAGGAGAGGAGGTCTGGGAGGGGACGGGACAGGTTGTGCAGGGTCCTGTGGGCTACTGGGATGGCTTCCTTGGCCTCAGAAATAGAGGAAGTATTTTTGGGTCCCAAGTAACAGAGCAGGGAAGAGGCAGAACCTGGATTTGAACCAGTCTGCCTGACTCCAAAACCTGCACTCTTAATCCATACCATCCTGTCTGAAGGGTCAAATCTTGCCTATTTATTAAGCACCTCCTGCATGCACTCTATCCAATCTTGGAAGGGGAGAATTGTCCCCATTTACCAGGGGAGGCAAGAGAGGCACAGAGTGGTCAAGTGACATGTTCAGGCTCACACAGAAAGTAAGAGGCCACCCCCCTCCAGGACCCAGCTCCCTCTTCTCTGTCCTGCTTTCAGGAGGAAGACTTTTATTATTTTTTTTTTCATTGTGCTTTAGGTGAAAGTTTACAGCTCAAGTTAATTTCTCATATAAAAATTTATACACATATTGTTATGTGACATTGGTTGCAGTCCCCACAATGTGACAGCACCCTCCCCCTTTCCACCTTGGATTTCCTGTGTCCATTCAACCAGCTCCTGTCCCTTCCTGCCTTCTCATCCTGCCTTTGGACAGGAGACGCCCATTTGGTCCCATGTATCTGATTGAACTAAGAAGCACACTCCTCACGAGTATTATTTTTTGTTTTATAGTCCTGTCTAATCTTTGTCTGAAGAGTGGGCTTTGGGAATGGTTTTAGTTCTGGGTTAACAGAGTGTCCAGGGGCCATAGTTTCGGGGTCCCTCCAGTCTCTTTCAGACCATTAAGTCTGATCTTTTTATGTGAATTTGAGTTTTGCTCCACACTTTTTTCCTGCTCTGTCTGGGACTCTCTGTTGTGTTCCCTGTCAGGGCGGGTGTTGATGGTAGCCAGGCACCATCTAGTTCAGGGGGAGGAAGTTTAAGGAGGAAAACTCACCCAATCACATTCAACAGCATGATCTTGAGGAGATCATTTGTCTTCTCTGAGCCTCAGTTTCCTCACCTGTAAAATGGGGGCGTTAGAGGAGATAACAGATGAGAAACCTCAAAAGCCCCATAGCGCCAACTCCTCCATGGTCCCCCGTGGGCTTGGACAGGACAATGAAGACCCTCTGGTCCTGGTCTCATCATCTCTGCGCTGTACCCTCCACTGCTTGCCCATTCGGCCCCCTCCCCTGAAGTGCCCCCAGTCCGTGTGGTCTCCACTGGGTCTCCGGGAAGCCTGTAAAGACCATGGGGTGCAGGGCAGGAGGCAGGCCTGGGGTGGAGGTGAAGTGGCAGGTGGAGGGAGTCTGGGTTGTGGAAGCTTAAGAGGTGTGCGGGGAGGCTCTTCAGGAAGGGAGGCTGGAGGGCTTCTGATGGTGGTGGGGGAGAGGACTGGGCATAGAGAAACTGCTGAGAGACAGAGATAGACAGAAAGAAGAAAGAGAGGTAAGGGGAGAGAAAAGAGACACAGAGAAAGGAAAAAAAACACAAAGACAGATACACACATACAGAGTGAGGTCTCTACTCATTAGGAGAAAAAGAGAGAGAAGGAAACCAAAGTCTCAGAGAAGAAACTCATTAACAGGGCTAATAGCCTGCACACACCACAGCTTCATCTCCCCTGAGACCAGAAGAACTAGATGGTGCCCGGCTACCACTACCCACCGTTCTGATCAGGGCCACAGCAGATGGACCCAGATAGAACGGGAGAAAAATGCAGAACAGAACTCAGATTATTAAAGAGTCCAGACTTACTGGACCAGCTGAGACTGGAGGACTCCCTGAGACTATCACCCTGAGATGCTCTTTAAACCTTGAACTGAAACTATCCCCTGAGGTCACCTTTCAGTCAGTTAACAAATTGGCACACAAAATAAAGGATATTACCCATGAGCACGGTGCTCCATTAAAAAACCATCCATATGTGACCAAAACGTCAACAATTACTCTAAAGCAAAGATGAGAAGATAAGGGGGCAGGGAAACTAGAGTACTGGAAACGGGACAACCAGAACACAAAGAGAAAGTTGACCCATTGTGAAAAATGTAACAAACGTCACTGAACAATTTGTGTAGAAATTGTCGAATGGGAACCTGATTTGTTGTGTAAACTTTCACCAAAAACACAATGAAATATTTTTTTGAAAAGATACAGAGAGAAAAGACATAGGGAGAGAGAGAGACAGAGGGAGGGAAGGAGGGAGGGAGGAAGAGAAGACAGAGGAAGTAGGGAAAGACAGGGAGAGAAAAAGAGAGACAGAAAAGATACAAAGACCGTCACACACAAAGGTACAGAGAGAGGAACAGAGACAGAGAGGAGTTAATGGAGAGACAAGACTGTACATGGATGGAGGGTTGGCATCTAGTGTCTAGAAGGAGACAGGTACCCTGGGGGAGAAAGGGAGAATACAGCCCCCCGGGGACCCTCAGAGGCCCTGTCTGTCCCCCATGCTGGATGGGAAGTCTCAGCAGAGAAAGCTGGACAGAGCAGATGCCAGCTAAGAAGTGAGCGTCCCATCCCAAGAGGCACGCAAGTCTGGGAGAATCAGAAACAAAGCCAGGGCTGCTGTGTGTCCTCCGGCAAGCCCTCCCACCCATATGAGCATACATCTCGGGACCCTGTGAGCGGGGAAGCCAGGGCTGTGAGTGCTGGAGTGAGCCAAGGATGCCAGCCAAGGATGCCTGGGGTGCCCACCATCGTGGCATCCACCCCGTCTCCACAGGCTTCGTGAGCTTTGACAACCCAGCCAGCGCGCAGACCGCCATCCAGGCCATGAATGGCTTCCAGATCGGCATGAAGAGGCTCAAGGTGCAGCTGAAGCGGCCCAAAGACCCGGGACACCCCTACTGACCGCGCCCACAGCCGCCCCGAGGCTGCAGGCCTGGCCCAGGTGAGCCGCCAGGCGGCCCCTCCCCACCCTCACCCCAGTCTCACTCACCCCCCTCCTCACTCTCCAAACCCTCCCCCTTCGCCCGGCCCTAGGCAGATGCTGCTGCAAGAAGCCTCATGGGACCCCCAGTTTGGATTGGTGGGCACAGAGCTGGACAAAGACACCCCCAAACCCACTGTGGTCCGGGCTGGGGCAGAGGGCTAGATGGGTAAGGGGAGCCAAGGTGGTGAGGGAATCTTTCCTGGAGAGGACTTTGCAGGATGAATAAGAGTTCACCCGAGAGGCCAGGTTTGGTCTAGGGTGGCGGGTGAGTCCTGTGAGTCTGTTCTCCCTCAACCAGAGAAAGTGTTCAGTCCCATCCCCACCCCCAGCCCCTGGCCTCTGAGGGTGGACCCCAGATGTCCAGCTCAGCTTGGAACCAGTGCTGGAGAGGAGGAGGTGGGGATGGTCCCCTGGGGCCTGGTCCACTGGGCCACCCACCCCCATCCCCACCAAGCCCCATGAGACTGCCCAGCTGTGCCCGGCTTCCACTGGTAGCTGCTCGTTTGGCATAATAACTCACACCCAGGGGGTTCATGGGAAAGTGTAATATCTGCCCCACCCGCCACTGTGCAAAAAAAAAAAACCCAAACACCGAACCAAACAAACAACAAAAAAAACCCAGGCGTGTATTTTGCCATGCGGGTAACGACTTTATCAACAACTAAATCACCTTCCTTGGGGGAATGAACCAGGAACACAAGGGGCCAAGGTTGAAACTTATCATTGCTCCCAAGCCTTGATGAGCCCCATCTGTAAAATGGGCTCATGGAAGTGGCCTCCCCAGCAGCAGCAGGGACGATGCAGCCAGAGGTGGAAAGATTTTCACTGCTGAGCCCAGCACCCACCCTCTAGAAAGTTCTCCATCATTCGTTTTGATTTTTTTTTTTTTTTAATCGTCATGGTGGTCATCACCCCAAAGCCTCGCCTGGGGTTTGGCGTGAAGTAGGTGCTCAGTGGAGGCTGTAAGGACTTTTTAGACTCTGTCAGGTCTGCAGGCACATCCTTGGCCGTTTTGGGGTACGGGGAATGCGCGTGTAGAATGCCACAAACTTTGCAGTCCCTCTCTTTTAACTTAGTAACCAGCAAATCTTTGCTGAGCCTACTATGTGCTGGCCATGGCTTCAGTGCTTGGGGGACCCAGCAATGAATGAGCAAGAAGAGGGAAAAAGAAACCACCTGCTTGGAGCACCCACGGGGCCGCAGGGGAGGGGAGACAGAAAAGAAACTTGTATCTTTGTCCTTGAAACAGGCTCAGCGACGTTAAGTCCCTTCAAAGCCGCGTTTGTCAGCCTCCAGCACCCAGGACTCCGCTCTTTCCGAAGGAGGCTCTTGGGTGCCCACACCCTGTCCCGGCCAGGGCGGGTGGGGGTGGGGAGGTGCGCACCTCTGCCCATGGGCCACCCCATCATTGCTCCCTAACGCCCATCCCTTCTTCGCCAGGTGAGGGGTCTTCCCACCCCGAGGAGGGTTTCCCGCTTCCAACCGATCCAGGAGTTTTCCGTAAATTACAACCGTGTTTGGACACCAGCCCTCCCTTCCCTCTTCCCCCCTCCCCCAAAATGTGAAATCCCTCGGAAAAGCCACATGGAGTGGGGAGGGGTCTCCTGAGTTGGGGGGGTCAACGGGTTCACTCCCCTGTCCCCTGGGGAGGAGATTTCCTCGCTCTCCCTCCCCAACCTCAATGGCCCCCCAAAAGCAATGGCAACTTTTCCTATATATATATATATGCATATATATATAGAGCTAGAGACAGTATATATATTTTTTGCATATAAATCATGGGACCAAACTTTCCCAACTCCCCTCCATCCGAGAGAGGGTGACCCTGGGCCGGTCACTTCGTGGGGACAGAGGAAGGACTGAGGCTGGCTGGGCGTGGGGACCACCTGCCAGGCGCTCCCCTCCCCACCTCCTGGCTGGCACGTCGGACCAGGGGCTGGAAAAGCACTGGAAATCTGCCAACATAATATACCTCCTGGACTTTCGGCCCCCCACCACTGACGACTCTTGCAGGCCTTTGGGCTCAGCCGGCTTGAGTGTCCCAGGTCCCAGCTGCAGCTTCCAGAACCTCCCCCCGCCCCCCCACCGCACCCCAGAACCCCGCCTTCCTCCAGATGTTGGCACAAAAGAGACCCTCTGGCTTCCCCCATCCTTTGTCTGTCCCCCCTCCCGGTCATAGCCTTACTTGTGTGACCAGTAGCCCTTAGCTTTCTGTCGGGGGGGGCAGACGGGGTTTGGGGGGAGCCCCCCACTCCCCACTGCCTCCCCTCAAGGGCAGGCATCATCCCCCCTGCCTTCAAATCACCAGCCTCAAGATTAAGGCCTCGTGATCAAGCCAAGTGCGTTGGACAAGACCAACCAGAACTGCCCAAGCAGCGACCTTGATACCTCTACAGAGATTTTTTTTTTCTTTTTTTTTTGGTGGTCTTTCTGAGCAGGTACAAAGAAGACAAGAGAAGAAAAAAAATGGGGGAAAAGAAAATCAAATGACAGTGGAGTTTTGTTTCCTAGGGAGGGGGGAGGAGATTTCTGGGGTGCCTCTGTAAATCTACCCAAACCACGCCACCCGTGTTGAAGCACAGAGTCACGTCCGTCTGACGTCCCGTTGGGGCGTCTTGCCAAATGAGGCGCCAGATAATTTAAGAAGCTCAAGAAAATTATATATATATAGAAAACACACACACACAAACAGCAGTCCTTTTTGTTTCTACCAAAATGTGTTGACCGACCTGGAAAAAAAAAAAAGAAAGAAAAAAAAAAAATCGCAAAAAAAAAAAACAAAAAAAAGGAAAAGAAAAAAAAATCTTCTGACCAACTTGTTTCGATATTCCAGAGTTTGATAATTGTTCTGAGACACTCCTATTAGCGTGCCTGTGTCAAAGCGTCCGCGTGTGCAAACGTGTGCAAGCGTGTGCAAGCGTGTGCCGAGGGCCTCGTGGGGGCCTCGTCCGTTTCCCTAACGCCCTGCTGAGCCCACACCCGGTGGGCTTGGGAGCGGGTGCTGGCGTGCTGTTGTGTTTACTGGCTGTAAATATCATTTTTATACTCCACCTCGAAGACCTGCGTGATTTGTACGATGTACTTTATTTCTGCTACGAGTAATTTCATGAAGTTTCCACTTGCGAACCGAATTTTAGAGACAAACCCACACACATACACACACACACACACACACACACACACACACACACGAGGAAATATCAAGAAAGGCAAGAAAAGGACTTAGAGGGAACTTTGGGTTGACTTGGTTTGAATTTCGTGTCAGAGGATTTTCTGTGGCCGGAGACGTTCTTGTGACTGTCCTGTGTTTCAGTGAGAAGCAACAAGCATCGTCTTAATGTCCAAAACGCCTCTTTGGTCTGAAGAAACTGAAAATTTATTTAATAAAAGTTTTACTTGCTAAAGGACTGGTCCCCCACCCTTATTCTCTCGCTCTTGTCGATAAAGCTGTGTGCCGAGCGCATATGGCCGTGCTGGTTGCCGGGGCTAGAGATGTGGTTGTTCACTGCCGTGGAGTCGGCCCTCCACTCATAGCAACCCCATGCACAGTGGACGAAATGCTGCCCAGTCCCGCGCCATCCCCACGATTAGTTGTGGGTCAGACTGATGTGATCCGTAGGGTTTTCATTGACTGATTTTTAGAAGCTGATCGCCAGGCCTTTCTTCCTAGTCTGTCTTAGTCTAGAAGCTCCGCTGAAACCTGTTCAGCATCCTAGCAACACGCCAGTCTCCACTGGCAGACGGGTGGTGGCTGTGCACAAGGTGTACTGGCCAGGAATCAAACCCGTGTCTCCCACATGGAAGGCAGAGAATTCTACCCCTGAACCACCACTGCCCACTAGGCTAGAGATGAAGCCAAACTTGGGGTGATGGAGGGGGATGCGGGAGGAGATACTCCGAGAAGGAAGGCCTGGAATTCTAATGTCTGAGATTCTGTCTGATTAATCTGGAAGTTGAAGAGATGGGGTGTTCTTTCTCAAGAAGACCAGATGCATTTACTTGTTTATTCTCTTGCACATTCATTCAGCAAACATTTATTGAGCACCTACTGAATGCCTGTTCCTGTACCGGTCACCAGGGACACAGCAGTGGCTGACGGGACTCTGGTCTCTGCCCTCATGGGGGCAGCACAGTGGAGAAGAGAGAATCTGTGCAACAAATTACACCATGTTTTTATTGTGCTAAAATACACCATTGTAACCATTTAAAAATGTACAGTTTGGTTGTATTAAGAACATTCACAGTGTTGTGGAACCATCACCACTGTTTACCTCCAGAACATTCTCATCACCCCAAAAGGAGACCCCATACCCCTCAACAATCACTCCCCCTTCTCCCTTCTCCAACCCCTAACCCAAACCCATTGGCGTCGAGTTGATTCCGACTCATAGTGACCCTATAGGACAGGGTAGAACTGCCCCATAGGGTTTCCAAGGAGCACCTGGTGGATTTGAACTGCTGACCTTTTGGTTAGCAGCCTGAGCTCTTAACCACTACACCACTAGGGTTTCCAATCCCTAGGCAACCACTAATCCACTTTCTCTATGGATTTGCCTATGTCTGGACGTTTCATATCAACGGAATCCTAACGTATGTGGCCTTTTGTGTCTGGCTTCTTTTGCTGAGCGTAAGGCTTTCAGAGTTCATCTATGTTGTAACATGTACTTCAGGACTTCGTTCCTTTTTATGGCTGAGTAATATTCCATTTCGTGGATGGACCACATTGTGTCCGTCCATTCATCCGCTGATGGACGCCTGGCTTGTTTCCACTTTTTGGCTGTTGTGAATCATGCTGCTGTGAAAAGGCCTAAACAAATTTTTGTTTGAACACCTGTTTTCATTTCTCTTGGATATATACCTAGAAGTGGAATTGCTGGGTCATATGGTAACTCTATATTAAACTCTTTTGGGGAACCACCAGACTGTTTTCCACAGTGGCTGCACCATTTTACAATCCCACCAGCATTGCGTGAGGGTTCCAGTTTCTCCACATCCTCGCCAACACTTGTTACACGATTTTTTAATTGGAATTTAAGGGAGAAGATTTCTCCATTGGACCTTACCCAGCCAGACTGTTGCTGTTGTTATTGGGTGCCATTGAGTCGATTCCAACTCTCAGCAACCCCATGTGACAGAGTAGAACTGCCTCGTAGGGTTTTCTAGGCTGGAATCTTTACTGGAGCAGATCACCAGGTCTTTCTCCCACAGAGCCGCTGGGTAGGTTCGAACCTCCAACTTTTTGGTTAGCAGCCAAGCACTTAATCATTGTGCCACCAGAGCTAGGCAGGTGTCCCCAAGAAGGTGAGCCATAAAGGAGAAGTAAGGACTCCCTTGGGGACGAAATGTCCAGGCAGAGGGTGCAGCCTGTGCGAAGGCCTAAGCTTGAGAGCGGGTACTGTGGGAATTGAGATCAGAGTATTTGGGCAGGACTCCAGGGTGGAGAGCAGCAGAGGCAACATCAAGGAGACCAGGGCTTGGACCAGAGTGCTGGCATTGGACTGGAGCGATGAGGCTGGCCTCAGATAATGTCTCAGGGTTTGAGGAATGAATGAGGAGGGTGGGAAGATGGATGTGGATTTAGCTGGAGGAAAATTGCATAGCTTCCCACCCCACTGCAGTGGAAGCCTCAACGTCCACTCCCCAAAAACTTCCTGAGACAGCATCCTGGGGTGGAAGGCACTGGACTCCAGGCTGGTGGCGGGGCAAGTGGGGGTGAATAGGTGGAGGCAGCCACACTCGAGCCTAACCTTTCAAAACTGATGGGAATGCTCAGCCTTGAAGAGAAACGAAGTCCTGCTGTATGCCACCACATGGGTGAACCTTGAAGACATGCTGAGCAGAAGAAGCAGTCACGAAAGGACAAGAACTGTATGATCTCACTTATATGAAATAAGCAAACATACAGAAACCCAGGGCTGGGGGGTGGGGAGGGGAAGAGGGAGCTGTTTGCTTAGGGGGCAATGAGGTTATGTTAATGGCGGTGGACTGATTTGGAACAGGACAGCAACAAAGTCTGTACAAAGAATGTGATCCTTGTCACTGAATTGTACATGGGAAAGTGGTTGAACTGGGGAAAGTTTCGTTGTATTTTCACTGTAATAAAAAAAAAAAGTAAAGAAATGGGTGGGAATGAGACTAACCACTTTATTTAATGAGCTACTTCCTATCCTGCCAGGTATATGCAGAAAGCATGCCTTTTAATCCTCTTATTGACAACTCATTCCCATTGTACAGTTGAGGTGACTGAGGCTCAGAGACTGGAAGCGCCTTGCTCGAGTTCCTACAGAGAGAACAAGGCAGAGCCAGAGTGGGAGCTGGAAGGGTGTGTCGGAATCAGCCTGGAAGGGTTTCTGGGGGGAAGGAACGGCCTGGGTGAAGGCTCAGAGGCTTGAGACATTGTGATGGTCGAGGAAAGATTGGTTAAGGCAGCAGCACTGAGGCAAGCACTGAGCACTGGCGCCCTGGTGGCGCAGTGGTTCAGAGCTCGGCTGCTAACCAAGAGGTTGGCAGTTCAAATCCACCAGCCACTTCTTGGAAACCCTATGGGGTGGTTCTACTCTGTCCTATAGGGTCGCTCTGAGTCGGAATCGACCCGAGGACAATGGGTTACTAAGCCAAGAAGAGGCTGCTGGGATCAGCAGGGATTGGATTATGGAGATCCTTTTGTTATTAGGCACCTACTGTGTACCAGACACTGTCCCCGCCCCCTCATCCCCAGGACTGTGGACGAAAAACAAAAAGTATTGTTGTTAGTTGTCACTGAATTGGCCCCAACTCGTGGTGAATCCCATGCACAAGAGAACAAAACACTGCCTGGTCCGGAGCCACCCTCACGATCGGAGGTCTGCTCGAGTCCATGGTTGCGGCCACTGTGTATTTCGAGTACCTTTCAACCTAGGGGGCTCATCTTCCCACACTCTATCTGACAATATTCTGTTGACATCCACAAGGTTTCATTGGCAGATATTTGGAAGTAGATCGCCAGGCCTTTCTTCCTAGTCTGTCTTAGTCTGGAAGCGCCACTGAAACCTGCCCACCGTGGGTGATCCTGCTGGTGTTTGAAATGCTGGTGGCATAGCTTCCGGCATCACAACAGCACGTAAGCCAGCACAGGACGATAAACTGACAGACAGGTGTTGGCAGCACACTGTAGCTACTTCCTAAATGTCCCACCAGGCAGCCGAGGATAGTGGTTAAGTCTGGTGCCGACATCCGAGTTTGAATCCGGGTTTTGCCACTTACCAGCTCTGCGACCTTGGACAAGAATCTCTCTTCGGCTCAGTTTCCTTTGGAAAATGGGGCTCATCAGGCACACGCTTCGCAGAGTTGTTGTGGGGGATGAATGAGTTCATATTTATAAGGCCTTCGGAACAGAGCCTGGCCCAGTGTAGGCGTTAGTGTTTAAAGAAATCAACCGTTGAAAATTCACTTGTCCAGAGGTTTCGCCCCAGACTACCACCAGGGGGCAACAGAGACCCATGCCTTCGTTGTTAGCGCCTTCACTTGAAGTGCGGCATGCTTTTATTAAGCTCAGACTGTGTGCCGAGTGCTGGGCGGGCGGGGGCTGGAGGAGATGGTAAAGGGGCTCCAAGCCTCTCTCTCCTGGGGTGCAAAAATCACCATGTCCAGACTTCTGAGCCATTTCCCTTAAAGCCTTCAGGATCAGTCTGGCCTCCCCTCTCCCCTCTTCAGTCTGAACGTCTTAATAGTGCATGAACTTGTCGTGTTGGTCCCCCCACCGATCCTTTGCACATGCCATTTCCCCTGCCCTTGTCTCCCTGAAATTTGCATGCTCTTTGATGGCCTTGTTCTCTCTCCAAGCCTCAGTTGCCCTATCTGTAAAATGGAACTCGCTCGTATGCGCCACCCAGAATTGTTGTGATGGCCCGAGATTAATTAATACACACGATAGCGTTGTTATCATAACGTAACATTATAAGGCAAACCAAGGCCTCCTCCCCAGTCAACAAAGTGAACTCCATGGATATCACTCCTACTGGATTTGAGCGTCAGCAAATATTTATTGAGTGCCTACTGTGTGCACTGGGGACATGGCAGCGAAAAAATGTACAAAAACATTTGGGGGAGGTGACGTTCTAATGGAGGAGACAGTGAACAAATGAGCAAATACATGAGATCATTTTGGATGCTGCAATCC